TAGTTTATATACTGTATTTCTTGCCGAACTTCACTAGCTAAACATAAAGTAACGTTTGAGTTAATTTTAAAGCAGAATTGATCCAACTTCATACATAATTAACTATGTTCTTAATACTACGTGCCTATAATTGGCTGGTGAAAATCGTTAAAGATATTTTTGCCAGTCATCGTAGTTGTATTGCATGTTTTAATCAATACCGGATTTACGAAACAATACGGTGGACTCTTAACAATTCTAAGTTTTTGAAAATACAATAATTCAAGTTCATGGATTAGTATCGACTGATAAAGTATGTTTTAATTGGTGTAATAAGCTGTAGATATTAACTTTTTATGATAGAATATTGTTAACAAGCATTGAACTAATAATAGAAACTTCATCAAACATTATTTTACCGCATAATGTATATATAACAAATATGTTATACATTATGAGGTAATATAAAAAGGTATGGTTGTTGATAGAAGTCTTAACCCTAGAATTTATGTAAATATTAGTTTTCGGAATAAAGCGAATATTTTAACCAAATCTGTATCGATTAATTTGAAGACATTCAGTTGCAATAAATCAAACGTGTTTTTCTGAGAGAATCTTAACATTCAAATGTTTCAAACTCAAAATGACTTTAGCAAAGTCACTGTTTTGAATTTCTGTTCTTCTGTAACTCGTTATTCATTGCAATTATTCCGTTTTACATTATCACGTGATTGAACTTGTAAAGTTGTATGATGAACATGTCTTTTGGCATAACCAGCATTGACATTTAGGTTTGCAAGAATCAAACATACCATTGAAAACTACCAGCTTTTGACTTCCTCTAGACCTAGTAGTAATGTGGAAAACGATTCCGGGCTAAAACTATGAGGAATAAAAACAAAAACCTTAAGGTGGGCTGCGATGAAACGGTCAGCTAACGGTTTTCATGGCAAAACATTTTTGTTTAGCAGGAACTGAACTCGTGCCTCCAGGAGATGTTTCACACATTAGACACTTAACTAGTTTTTTTTTGTCTTAGGACGCTAGGCACGACCCCAGAATAATTTTTCACGTTACTTCAGGCTAGACCTAGGGGTTACAGCATTATCACTTGGATAAAATCCATTGGAGATTTGGTGAGATTCGAACCCGGGAACCCAAGAACCGGAGTCCCGCGCTCTAACCTCTAGACCAGCCCGCTCCCCGGACACTTAACCAGTAGTATGTGTTCAAACAAAAAACTAAACTCAGTCTAAGTACCTGCTAGCCGTAGCCTCAAGTGATCCATTGCACGACCCACCCTCACTGAGATAGTAGTTATCTTAAGCGGTTAAGCTACTTTGTCTGTTTACAGCTGGTGATTTATCATGTTGCGATCATGATAAATAGGCTACTTTAAGTGTAAAAAATGTAAAAGGTTATTAAGAGTCAAAAACCCGCTTTATATTTTATCAGGTATAAAGTGTGTTTTTGCCGAGGAAAAATGTGTATTTAAATGAATTTCTTTAAAGCTATGGATAAATAAATATAGTGTGGATGGATTAGTTTAATAATACAGTTTTAAACAAAAATAGATTTGAATATGTTATTGTGGATCACTGTTATTTAATTGGAAATTATTTTTCGTTTAAAAGTGTTTGGATGTATCAAAATACCATGATTTCAGTCTAAAATATTGTTTTAGTTAAATGTACATGACGAAATAGCATCAGTGGTGTTTAGATTAATTTTTTAAACGAGTAATCCAAAAGTAAACGTAAAAATGTTGTTAGAATAGGTGATAAAGTATCGTCTGAAAAATGGCAACACGATCTGTAAAATTCATTTTGGAACCAGCAGGCTTTGCATTTGAAGGTGAGAGTACCCTAACCAATATAATTACTGAGTTAAGAAAAAAAAATAAAATAATAAGATTTTCCACTAGAGTCCTGTACATTAGTTAAACCAAGTCTTTGACGTCTTTTATACATTATTTTATGAAACTTTATGTATTTACATGTAATTCACTGGGTAACTTTATTTGATCTATAATCGTACGATTTTAGGTGGTGTCTATATGTAACTATCATAAATCTATCAAACAATTGTAAAAGAAAATTATTACAAAATAAAATATTCAAGCAAGTACTAAATACCAAGAAACACAAGTAATTATGGTATTTATTGAAATAATGGTATTTTTTACCAAAATCTAATTTGGATAACATATTATATGAGATTATCTCATTTTTTACCAATTGAACTAGCCTAAATGCTGTACGAGGTCGATTTTTCACTTTGATGCATTTTTCACTTTTAAAGCAGGTTTTTTTCTAGCATTTCATCTAGGTCTTGAAACCCTGGATATTTTCTCCAATTTACATCCTCGTGATTTTCCAAAAAGCACTCCGGTCCCACACAACCATCCCCTTTGTTGAAGATACTTTGGCTCTTGCCTAGCGGTGTCAGATGGAACTGGTTGGTTAAGTATTCATATTCCACTAGCATTTGGATCAGGCTGGCACACGTTCGGTAAATCCTTTTTAAAGGCACTTTATCTGAAATCGTACATGAATAAAAGGTAACAGCAATAAAACATACACTTTCTTTCATTAGCTTGTCAACAACCCTTATCATTGGAAAGGGGTGGAAGTAACTATGGTATTTTATGGGGAATATAACATAACTTGTTAATGACTTGTTGTTGTTAATGACTTCTGTAAACGGTATTGTTTACATCTTGCCCAAACATCTTTTGAAATAACACTCACACTTTCATTTTCTCTAAAGATTCCAATGGCGTAAATAAGAACAAACAACAAATCTTTAGGTACCTATAAAAAAGGATTACAATACTCGTATTATTATAATCTCTTTGAAACGTCCAAAGCTTTTGAACGCTTGACTAATCTTATTAATTTCTAGATTTTTCATCTCAGCGTCTTTCCTTGGTAGAAGCGAACTTTACGTCTGTAATTGGGAAAGTTGGAAAAAAATTTTTGCAAAAACTGTTTGCTATGTTTAGAGATATTTCACTTTCGCTCGTGTAGCCATACAGCAACGATTGGCTAGATTATCTGAAATACGATTTTAAACTACGCGAAATAGGCCAAACAAATTGTCCTAGTTCTGAGTTAGTGTGATAATTATTCCTTGAAGCTTTATGTTCACCATTCTACTCGCCTAAAAGGAAATTGAAGCATAGATTTAGCAAACTATCTTAACCTAAAACTAAATCGTCAAGTGAAACATGACAAAAACATTCCGCAATGTCCTCCCCGTGATTTTGCGCAACATTTGAAAATCGCAAGATAAGTTTGCCGTAAAATGTTTATAGAAAATCTTTATGTTCATGTTTTCTGTTGAAAATTTTATGTTTAACTTTTAGATGTTTTCAACACTTATGAACCAGGTATCACAAATCTCAAATCAGAACAAATTGAGGTTATAGGAAATAAATACCTGAAAAGTCCCCAATGTATGCGATGTCTAAGCTTTTGCCCTTCAGGTCCATATGTTGTTTGTCCTTGTGGGCGTGGTACAACAGCCCTCGACCTTCATAAACAACCCCATCCCCGCCTATCAGGAAACTGACATATCAAACTACTTTTAGTTCAAATCTATTCATACCTTTACTGGAGGAAGGAAGGTTACTGTTGGATGGAAAAATGAATATGCATAGCATGAGATCAAATGCGTTTGTCGATATTTAATTACCGCTAGCTTATACAATTTGGTTGTTAATGTTCAAAATAATTATCCTGCCTGGTATGTAACTGAAAAAGGTCATTACAAAACTAGCATAATATTATCAATCCAGTAAATGCAAACAAAAGAGTAAATTAAAAGATTTGAGTGAATTATTAAAGGCACGTATGTATCATGCACTTGAATACTATAATTTAACCTAGACGTTAATATAAAGGGGTACTAAATATTTCGAAATGGTTAAAATAGAGCTGTTAAAAATTCGTGGTTGAATATAATATTTTCAGTTTTATACACTTTTTGATACAAATACATAGAAGAAAGCGTTACTAATATACATTTTTTGTATATAATATGTGTAAATATTATGTTGGTTTGGATTTTATTTTTGACTTAAGTTAAGTTCATGTAATATGAAATTCGTTCGTAAATAAAGGCTTTTTTATTTACTAATCTATACATAAATAAAATGTATTAAAATCCGTATATAAATGAACTGGCGGTATTTCTATCTGCACATTTTAATACCAAAGAGTAATTTAATTTGCTAAGATGGTCTGTCATATTTAAATAATGGATTTAAAAAAAATGGATTTTATTTAAAGCATGGTAAGTTTCAAAATTTATTCCCCGGACAAGAAGTTAAATTATTTACCCAGATGGAATCTTAGTCGACATTTATTATGACTCAGGGGTAGTTTATCTACACAATGTCTCCACAAATAGTTTACTTATCTCTTAAGCTCTAAATTTTGAAACTGATTTATTCAGAACATTTGAAACTATCCGACTGTGACTTTATTTCATACCTGTTTACGAGTCATTGTACAATTTTAATTCAAAAAAACTACAAGGCGTTATAGTAATGACTAGTAATAATACTAGTAACCCACCATGATCCAATATGACTCAAATATTCGTCCTATCCCAACAGCTGATTTGTCACAATCAGTTTAATATCTTTTAAGTTGAAAATCTAAAAACTAGTTCATTCAGAATATTTGAAGACTACATAAATATGGATTTAAGTTGAGTATTTACCTCCTTTCCCCAATTCATGTCAAATAGTTAAATTGAAAGACGAAACTAAACTAGGAAGATAATGTTATATATTTACTAGGAGTTAACTTTCTTCTTCCGGCCTTAAACACTAAATGTGTTTTTTTACAACAAAAATACTACAATAAGTATTTGTTTATATACAAATGGTCTAATCCTTAAAATTTAGTAAGGGAAATGGAATTTGCTTAGTCTGCACATTCCTGGGGTTATAATATTTTTTAAACGTATCATTCAATCGCAGTGTTTTGTATTAGTTGATCTTCGTGACTCACTTGTATTGAATATCTGCTAGACCTCTGCCTTGAATGTCTCGCCGTTGTATTAGATCCACTGCGTCTAGACATTCGTGATTCGTCAGACATTCATCCGTTCCAGTGAACGTAATCAACACCTATAAGGATTAAACACTTCAACAACTGTTTCGTAATACTATAAAATAAAAAATATCTATCTTAGTAGAATTGTCATCCTTATGGTACAGCTGAAGAAAATTTTATTTAACACAGTGTACTGTAGAGGTCCTGTTTTTGTTTACAATGTGTTTCTTGTTATTTCAGTCATTTAAAACCTCGTTTGACCAAATAAATCGATCTAATCATAAACAATAAGTCCCTTAGTTATATAACCAAACAGTACAGCACAAATCAATAAATTAATCCTAAAGTAATAGAAACTAAATTACATCGACACTAGCGCCCAGTGGAATTGTACATGAACAAGACACGAAAAACGAGCTTCAACGTTTACAATGGGAGAAGTCTACCTGTGTTGGTGTTGGTTAGTGTATAGTTATACTATCTAATTAGTATACGATGGATGCATTGGTTATATTACTTTAATAAATCGTAGTTTTTTCATGTGGTCGAAGTTTTTTCATGTGTGGGGCCGTCGACTCCCCTCACTTCTGTGCATTACTTTCATATTTATTAATATTTATGGTATATCTTGTTGTTACCTTTATTGTCAAGTTTTTAAATTTTCTTCAAAGCTTATCGTACCTTTTGCACACTGTTCTCTTCTGTAAATTTGCTGTTTTTGCCTCCATACTATGTATTATTTTGTAGTGTTTCATAATTTTGGGTTTGCTTATTGTGAGTCTCTACTTCGTTAATATTTATTGTATTATTGTTCCTGCATGTTAACTAGTCTTTATTGCCACTTGCTGTGATATTTATCGTATATTTATTTTCTAAACTATGTTTTGTAATTCTAAGTGTACGTAGTAGATAGCTGTAATGGTAACATGCATGTATTACTATGTCATCTTTTATTGGTTATCTGTAAAAAAATTGCAATGTAAAATGTAAAATAGTGTTTGCCGTATATAAATAAATAAATAAATAAAAACAAATAAATAAGCATTGCCTCTTATAATACATGACAAAGTGCCAACACCGCAACCCTCGCATATTAAAATTTATTTAAATACATTTTAACCATACAGCAATTTTTAAAGGGTGATAAACGCTCACAAATGAATGGTTTTATCTGTTAGTTCTACCTAGTTTAGTGTGTTTGGTTTTCATTTTGTTAGACCTATTTGATAATATATATATTCAATATTTTGAAAGTGGCTGATTCCCCTAAACATCGTCTTCTTAAAATAGCCTGGTTACAGCTAGGATGTTTGGTTTATATTTTATATTTAGGAATAGATTGTGAAGTTCTATAGTTATTTGTGCAACTAGTGAGAAAAGTGAGCAATTGACTCACTCGAGAGAAATCCTTACTCACGAGCCTTAGGCGAGTGAGGAATGGTTTCTCGAGTGAGGCAATTGTACTTTGAACTCGAGTTGCACATTATACTTTTCCTACAGTTACCATAAAACAAATAAATTTGTGAAGAAACATAACCTATTCTTACACAGAAGTGAACTTTTAATATAACATTTAATGTGAAGTGACAAATACAACAGTATAACAGCTGACCAGCTGATTTACAGCCAGTGCTGCCAACGTATTTCGTGCGCATACGACGTTGCCTGCATGTTACGCGCTCACTATTTCGTGCCTTCACGTTGCAAATCTGGAGTGAGACAAAGTAATTAGAGTGAGACAATGTTAACATTGTCTCACTGATGAGCGAATTGGCCACTTTGCTTTCTCAAATCAGTGAGAGAACATGTACATTGTTAGGTAACTGTAGGAAAACAATCTTAAAATTATATAAACTATTCCAAATTTACCATGATTTAACAGTGACAACTGCGTTAAATACATTTTGAATGGTTCACAACATCCGCAAAAACGATTTCATTTACAGTTATTTTTTTTTTAACGTATTCTCTTAAAAGATAGTTAAAAACAGATCGATTTTCTTTTTACCTCTTCCATTGGTAGTTTTAGCTCTTCCATTTCTCCACGCGGGGCCTGAGCCCCCCATGAGCTACGGTATATTACAGTAGGGTGTGGAAGTCGGACTTCTGAACTATTGCAGGAGCAAAACAAATACAAATAAGACCATATAGTTTGAACAACTTAAAAAACCCGTCGTTATAAAAATGTATTTCATCAAAATATCTCTAAATACTAAGCCCTTTTAAAAATACTAAAATAATGGTTACTATAAATTGTGCTTATAATTTGAAATAAAAACCTTTAAGTTAAAAAATCTGCTGGCAGTAAAAAATATAAAACAATTACCTGTTTTAACCCCTCTCCAAGTTTTCAAAGTGATTTATAAGATATGAAATCCAATATAAAAAACAAGAAATAAACAACAAACTGCGGATTCTTAAGAGCTTTAATATTATCTAATAAAATTAGAAAAAAACTTTAATTACCAAGCTATACTTAAATATTAGACTTTATCAAATTCTCAAAACATGTAATTTACAAAGCAATCTCACTTTTACAAAAAATCTTTTGACCTAAAAGATTTATCATAATTATGTTTAGCTTAAAGGAATTACTAGTATTTTGTAAAATGAACAATTTCGTAGGACCACTGTCATAGACGTAAAACCCATAGAAAACAACAATTATTTACTAAAATCCAGCCATAATCTTTTTTTATTGTAGACCATTAACAAAATCTTATTCTAGAAAATGTTAATCTTAACTGTCAGTTTAATTAATAACAGACTTTTTTATTATTACAACTTTCTTGTTAATAATTTGAAAGAGATCCAGACAAGCGGTTAGTGTATTGCTACCATATAAGGTAAAGAAAAAAAAATCAGGTACAAAAATAATAAGGATTGGAAACGGCCTAATGGATTTGCAAATTTATAAATGCAAAACTAGTTCTAATTATACACTTTTCGGCTTCAGAAAAAATGCTATAACAAGTGTTTGTAATTGAAATACCAAAATAATGTACCTATATTATAAAAAGTATTTTTTAACTTACCTCATTGGCTCATCATCATCCAATGGTGGAGGTGGTATGTCTTCATCTTCTTTTTGAATTTGGGTGTTTTCGGTGTTCTGTAGTGAAACCTCTTCATTTTTCTGATCACTTCCCGACTAAAATTGAAGTCATCGGTTAACTGTCGTAATACAAATTGAGTATTTAATTTGAAATGAAATTGCGATGTTAAAATTAGGCTATAGAATGTAGGCTTTAAATTGGTCAATGCATGTTTAACCGTTGATGCATATCTAAGTCTGTAAAGTGACTTAGTAATAACTAAAAAAATAAGTTTACTTCTACTATGTCTTACCATTCACTGATATTCTTCAAAGTCTTGAGGTTAGACTCATATCTAGACGTTTATTGGTCGATTCATCATTATTGATAACCACTCAGTTATCTTAATCTTTCTTGATATTGGCTCTCAAACGTATTTGTTATTTAAACATTGTTAATTAACAGTAAATTAAGAAGAAGAATGTAGTGTTTTTTTTATCTAATGCAGGAACTAACAGTATTTTTAATATTAAAGTTATTTCGCGTAATTTGTTTTAAAGTATACATCTAAAATCAGATTTAGTAAGAAATATTTACAACTGATTGATACTCTCTAACGAGATGTTTCCTTCATACCAATTCGGTATTTCGATTTCTAAAATCCACAGATTGTCAATTTTTTATTGGTTTTTATTTTATTTTTTGTATATTATAGTCTCATTATTTTTTTGCAGGAGTCATCCAAAGCTCTGGTAAAATATTGCGAATACATTATAGAATGAATGTTTAAAGATCTTTAAAAGAATTGTATGTTCTGTTCCTATTTCTAGAAATCGGTATTGCAATATGAATAGGCAATTTAACAGTAAACAAGAATTTCTACAAGCCTGTATATTTTACAGCCAATGATTTGTTTACTATTATGCTAAGTAATAGTTAAAATATGGTCAAACATCCATTAACATCTACTCGTCCTCTTGTTGATATAGTTTTATGTTTATTATGCTTTATTTAATCCTCACTAAAACAAAAAAAATGTTTATTTCAATTAAAATTAAAATGTACTACCAAATTAAAAAAACCTACGATAAGATCTGTTGACGTGTGTACAACAAATCGTATTATAGGTTTTTAATTTGGAAGTATACTATCTTAGAAACATTTTATTAAAAGTAATTGAGTGCGTATATTAATTGAAATTTTTACGTTACCATTATAACAGTCTCCAAATACAATTCAAGAACAACTTCACATAAAAACGTCAATTAAAAAATCTAATTGATCGAATTTTTATCTGTTAGTGATGCTTTTTAACACTGGCATTTAAACTTTTCGTAATAACATCTTTTATCAGACAACCCAGATGTATTGGTGGGTCGGTAGCGTCTCGGACTTCGGGCCGAAAGCAGCGATATCATGTGTTCAAATCTTGGTATCTGCCTCTACTTTTCATCGGTACAATTTATTCTTGTACTTTGTCGGCTCACTTCTTGCTTTTTTGGATACGTTCCACGCACTGGCGTTTGTGGCCCATGAGGACGGGCAAATGAAAGGTAAAAAGAGGCGGTCAATTTTTTTTATGAATGAAAATTGTGGCTATGTACGTGTAATACGTCACAAACAGAACTTATTATATTTTAAAAACAGAATAACAATCATAGAGGGAGCAAATTTTATTATATCACCATAGGTTTAAAATATTATCTTCCACTTTGAGTTCGCCTCTAGGTGCGATATCGTCGCGATATTTATTGTATCTTTCGCGGATATCGGCGCAAACGTCTGGTCCCGGTACTGGTTCCTTCTGTCCAAATGGAATTAGCTTAAACTCATCCTTCACTACACTATGTCCTACGACGAACCTCATAACTTTTTCAGCGACTTTATAGAACTTCTCTGGCGGTGGTGTTTCTAAAACAAAACAAGAAATTAGAAAGTTTAAAAATAAAATACCAACTATGTAATTTTTATCGAAAAAAAAACACTGGGATGTTTTGCTTGATAATATTTCAACATTTGGCTCCTCAGTAGAATTATTTTAAAAATTAAGTTTGTTCAATGATTGTAAAATTTTATTGATTTTGAAAATCAACTGTAGGGTTAGTTAAATTTCCGTTGGAGCAAAACACCATGTTTATACTATTTAACATGAAAACTTTGCTTGTAATGTTTTATTTTTGATGTTGTAATGTGCAAGGATGTTTTATTCCGAGGGTTGAGAAACTAAATGTCCATTTTAAAAAGCAACGTGTACTCCACTGATTTTACAATTAAAATAAGACTAAACATTTTATGAAATCAATTCTTCACATTTTTACTCCAAGCTAAATCCTGAGATTTTAATTTCTTTAGGTATCGTAAATGTATTTTGTAATACATTATAAGTTACTAGGACTTGTCTATACTGGTTTATTTTCAAATAGACTATTTTTAGCTGACTGTGAAAAAACACCTACGATCGCCTGTGATCTTTCACACATTACATTGATATAAAACCAAAACTAATAACTACAAAAACATATACAGACCTGAAAAGTCTCCTATGTAGGCTATATCAATACTGTTCTTGTCCATATATGCAAACTCGGGGTCTCTTGAGGAGTTTATTAGCCAACCTCTTCCTTCATAAATTTCTAAATTGCTTCCTATGTAGTAGCTGTCAACATGCAAAGTAAGTTATACAAGTTTGACAATACTGTAGTAACTTTAAGTATTTTCTTGTAAATTTGATTTGACTTAGACAATAATATATTACAAAATGTGTGTCTAATTAAGAGTTCTCCTACAAAATTTTAAAATGCTGTGTTTAAGATGTTTGCATTTTGTTATTTAAATGTTGGGTTGTACGCCTGCAAGTGAATTAGACGCTGAAGACGCTTCCTCGGGTACTTAAGACGGCAAGGAAAGCACTCCAGCGACGTAATGGAGTAATAACGGGCTAATTGGCTAATTGTCCCTTGTGAACTTGTCAAACCATAACTGGAGGCACATTTGCTCCTGTGTTTTGCAACAGCGAGTGCTGCAGGGTTTGTACCCATTGCCTTCAGGCCATTCAAGTCGGATATGTATTAATCTTTGTTCTTTACTTTTTATATATAAAATAATAATCGAATATCGAAATTGAATTTTTATTCTTTCAAAATATGATTTCATTTAAGTTTTTTTTTTATTTGATGTACACCTCGAGATAGGAATTGTTGACTATTACATGATTGGTATTTTAAAATCAGCTGATTGTCTCTTTAATTTAAAACTGATATGCAGAATGGCTAATAGGGTTCCGTAACCATACAGGGTTATGATATAGGTTTTTTGCTTTTAAACCCACTAGTTTATATAGTGTATTCGTATAAAAGGGCTATTTTTTAGGATATTTTAACCATCGTTCGCAATGTTTCCATAAAACTCGTTATCAGAAGATTCTGAAATTGTCCTAGCATTCAATATTTTTTTCTGAACATAAATTACCATAATATATGGACTAATATCCGTCATAAATAACTAAATTTAAAAAAAAATTCTTGTAACAATTTGGAATTTCGTTAGATGAAGGTTTGTATTGTTAAGAGCAAGTTATCACGTAGTGTGCGAGTTTTGTAGTATTGCCTTTACACAATAACTTGATCTGCTGACCTGTTATTTTCCATTATTTGAAATACTGAATGGTAGAGAATTTAATCAATGGTTCCGTTTATGAAAGGAACTATTTGGGACAGGTTTCTGTAGGTAGAAATAAAAAAAGTTGCCTAGCCTTAGTTGGGTAACACTTTTAAAATATCGGAATGTGAAAGTTCCAAGTTTGAATTTTGTTAAAGCAATTATTAACACACTTCAGAGTGGAGGGCAAGTTGGTATGGTGGCAGAGTTTCAAGTTTCAGTCCACGACGTTTCGGCTTTGAATTCCGCTAACTAGCAATTGCTTATAAGCATGTAATAACTCCGCAAACATCTAGGCCTGAAGTTAAGTGTAACATGGTTCTGGGCTAGAGTCATTGGCGTCTAAGGACGTGATGATTGGGCATGTTAAAAGTCTTTTTGAAACTGCTTTACCTTTGGTTTATTATCTGTAGCCTCGTATAAATCATTTTTTCATGTACGAATTCTGTTATGCAAGATATTTTCCTATATTTGATTCCAAAATTGATTACCAAAGCATTTGGGTAGAACTTACAGGGCGACAAAAATGGTGACCCATAAAGCGTTCACTTAAACAAAAGATGAATCATGCACATAACCTCCCTCAATGCATACTTCATCAAAACCAAATTAACATCTAAGATAACTAGATGTCAACCTACTTGTGTTTGATGTCCAGCAGTTTGTTCTGCACTATATCTTTCCTCTGCAACTCTTGCATCAGTTGGAAGCATTCCAGATGGCTGTGACAGCCTCTACTGCGTGTGTGTGTTATGGTCACATATTCCATGGGGAATATGTTCCATTCTTCCTTCGTCAGGTCTACCGCTTCTGCACGCCACTCGGTCTTCTCCCATATTTTTATGTTTCTCTTTTCGAGTTCCCTGTGTCATTTATTACGTAAGATAAGACTAATAAAAAAAAAAAATTAGGTCCACTTTTATGATAAAAAAATTTAAATACTAGTTTAATTTGTCTAATAACCAAGGCTGATTGTTTGTTGGAGGTGTATTTCCCTCTATGTTTCACTAATTTTCAATTGATTTTGTTTAACCTCGTTTATGGTAAGTTTAAAAACCACTTTTCTAAAGGAACTATCCAAAATTTTGAGAATTTTAAATTCTATAAGACAAAATTTAATTACTGTTGACTAATAACACTATAAAAAAAATATTTTAGATAATCTAACATTAATTATTCATACTTTTACCATATAATTAGTTTTAGTTTTTTTTTAAATAATTAATCAATAAACATTGTACAGGATAAACATAGATGAAAGGAACATTTTCTACGTGAACATGCACATTGTGGTTTACTACTTGCGTCAAAAGCACATAATAACCATTTTAAGGTTGGTTTTTACACATATTTAGGGTCAAAACTAAATACAGTTTTTCTATAATACAGCAATTACAACTATAGCTTACCTTTTCTCATTTTCAGGCCACTGTCTGTCCCTCGCTTCTTCCAGCCAATCTTTATAAACGACCATTTTCTGCAGAGGATAGTTGAAAATTTATAACCAATTACAATTAGCTAAAACTTTTATTTTTCGTAAGATCCAAGTCTTTATTGGCTTAAAGTCTTTATTGGGTTCAATAAAGTGATTTGCATTGCGAGGATGTTTCTTCATTTTTTTACACTACATTCTTAAAAAGCTTCACTTGGTTACCACTTTATGCACCAAAACAAACAAAAACAGAGTAGTTATCTTATCGGTGTCAGATTTTGAATGGAATAGGCATTTTGAAATGTTCTTGGTGATTATCTCAGTTCAGTAAACGAATCATTACTTATATCAGTAGATGTGTTTCTATACACAGATCTAGTTATTTGTGGCGTTTAAAAATAATAATGACATAATTTTTTTCAGGGATAAATGCATTTTTAACTATTTTTATAATTCATATTTGAATTTCAGAGCAGGTATGTTATTTGTCTATTAGTATCAAAATTATATTTTGATATAAAAATATTTCCTACAAATATCGACACCGAGCAGCTTTGTCCATACTAAATAAACCCTCATACATTGAATCTGTTTATTTGAATCATAACTTAGCTTCTTATATAGATTATAAAAATATAGATTAATATAGGAATAATATAGATGATCAATTCGACTTCTAACACACAAAACTGAAATGATTACAGAAACGCATTTATTCAAAAATCACCTTTTGGAGTAAAATTATAATCAAAGGTCGTATAAGTAACATAAATAGCTACAAACATAAGTATTTTTTTTTAATATCAATTAATATAACTCTGAATTTGACAACGTATTCATCTAGTGTATAAAATAAAACTCTTAGTCTTCATACTAAACTGAATTCAATAAGAGAAAAATGGTTATACAAAATCCCATAGAACTTATTTTTAACTCTATTGCTATTTGAAATCTTGGTGGTCCTGCCACAAAATCATATATTTTGTTCTCCTTGTGCTAGGCTCTCCGGAGTAGTTATCCAGATTACTTCGGGATGGGCTTAATAACTACTTTACGACATCAGCACTTATATAAAATCTATTGGTACTTTAGCTGGATTCGAACCTGAGACCACAGGGACCGAAGTCTCGTGCTCTACCATTAGACCAGCTTTCTTCCCCATCATAGTGTATATATGTGTAAATAAAATAACTAAAAGAGGAATATATTTTCCATTGTCCTATTTAGACACTTGGAAAAAAGCTTTATTAAAAAAATTACACAAAAAATTAAACTTCTAGTTGGGTTTATGAAATAGCTTATTTATTTAATTTTATTATTATAATTATTATGTCTTTGCTTGTCGAAAGTGGTCAGAAAGGTTTATTTTTATGGACGTAGTGGATCGTATAGGGCAAAAGTTGACGATTGTATTAATGTAACCACGTACAGTGCCTTCGCCTAGAACGTTGAGAGCTGTTTTTAACATTTTGGTCGGTGGCATTTTTCCTGAAATCAGATGAAAACCAAAACATCAGTTTGTAAATAATGTTTCTCGTTGCAGTAAAATTCCCAACAGGATTACAAAGTACATACTTTTACCGATAGTAAAGACGACAATTCGTATGGTTTTTTCTTGAGATAATTTTTATGTATAGAATACACTGTAGTATAATAATTAATTAATACGTTTATAGGCGTTATGTTATTTAGTTTCTCGTGTCTTCCCTATGTAGCAACTGCTAAACATGTAAGTTAGAATGTTGCGTTAACAAAATATTTAAAGGAATTAAATTAATTAAGTCTCGTATGAACTTTCAAAAATATATTTCAAGTTTCTGTAGTTAAGCTGAGAGTAAAATGGTGTAGCATTTTTAAACAGTTTACTTTCTAAAGTAAATTATTATTTAATACGTTACAAATTTACAAGGGTGAATCAAATTGAATGTAAACGTCTGTCAAAACCATAAATCATCGGTTTATTGGCATTAGTAACGAAATAGATTCTATTACATCCCACAAAAGTATTTTGAACAACTATGAATCATTTGACTTTTTGACTACAAAATGATTCCTAAAATTTATCGTGATTGGGCGGACTCGTCGGACTGGGACGAAATTTAACGTTTCTTTTAAATAATTTCCGTCGATCCCTTCGTTGATTATTGATAGAGCCACCATTGTCATATCTTTATTTGGTATTCTGTCTGAAATCATGTATTACATAATTTAGTTAGTTGGTCAAATAAGGAAAGAAATAATAAAGCTTTGATACTAATGATTAGAGCAGTTTTGACATTTCCACAGCTTTGGTAAACGTCTAAGGTTGTAGTATAGCAGACAAGATTTGGAAAAGTTTTATAATACAAATACAATATACTTAACACAGTATTTATTTTCTTTTGGTTAAGGTGTTTTTTCTAAACCATTACATATCTGCTTTTATCAACTGCAGTATTTTTGCGAAATAAAACGTTAATCCATCCAGTGGAACCTGACCAAACTTTATGGCATAATTAACTATTGACAATTCTTTAAAGCAGTTAAAGTAATTACTGAAAAGGTAAGGCGACTGTATGGCTAAATTAATCAACATTTTAATCACCCTCTGCCACTTAAAATCTATAAAATAGTATTTGCTTTTAGGATCCCATAAATCAATAATTTATAACAGAAAGTAAGGATAAACTACAAATAACATTGTTTAACTCTATTTTGGAAGCATATATTTCATATAGTTTGCAAAATCTATTGCTATAGATTGATGGGTATGCAGACGACAAAAGTTTACAACAGGTTTAACCATTTTAGCATTAATGCCATCCCCAACCATAGTAAGTGCTGCTTTTACCATACCTGCGGGTGGGTCTTTATCTGAAATAAAAATTCAGTGTACTTTTTGAGCCTCAGTTTTGGAAATATTTTTTAGAAGCAAACAATAAGTAATGCAAGCTAACAAATAAAAGTTTTGTTTTGACTTGTTGAAGATGAATTTGCACATGCTCAATTACAAACTATTGAAATCTATCCAATATATTTTTTATATATAGTTATATTTAACAATACATATAGCTATACTGTATAACACGATTAAATGCAACCTTGATGTAGTGCAGTTTAGTATTATTCACTGGTTTGTATCATATTCCACCGCAAGTTTTATAGCATATACACAATATATACTTATGCTAATTACCAAAGTGTATAGTACCTGTTGATGAGCAGAAAATATTATATATTCAGTTTCAAAAATTTATGCAATTTGAAGGATACCCACCACTTTTATTCGTTAAATGTATGTTGAAGCTAATTTACGGGTTAAATAAATGTTTTGTATAACCTCAGCTGTTGAGTAATTGTTAAAGGTAGGGTGAAAAGGAAAGGGTAAATTTCTTCCCCTAAAACTGCCTAAATTTGGAAAATGATTATAATACAACTATTTATATGTTATTCTATTCCGTAGAATCTTATGTTTCGTCTTTTACTGCTATGGATAAAAAGTGCCCGTGACTGATGATTCGTATTAAATTATGTATTTACTTTGTAAATGCTTAAGGGAATTATCAACTATTTTAGTCCTGTAAGATAAGCTATTGTGCCGAAGAAAGAGAAATAAATGGGTGGAAAGGTCGACTCCATTGCAGAGTAATGGAGCAAGTAAGAACAAGTGTCTAGGTTTGTTCTAGTGGAGTTTATCTTCATGATGCTTTGTTGAGCGAACTGCTTATAAACGTAGTTAATACTCTTTTGGACTTAATCTCCATTTCTTGCAAAATGCATCAAAGTTATCCGCTGGTTTCGTTATACATTTAGTGCATTTGGAAATTATGGGTTGTAAGATAACGACATAAAATTTGTTTTAAGTGTTTAAAATGTAAAATGATTGCTTTTTGTAAACTATCATTTAAAGTTATCAACTTTATTAGACATTTGTGATTGTTTTCAGATGGTTAAATTTCCATGTGATAGTTTATCTTTTTCAGACCTACCTGGATAGCTACGACTTATAATTTTAGGAGTTAGGTTAGGTTAGGAGGTCTTTTTTTTTTGATTCTCATGCTGAAAGTATACTTTCTATTTAAATTAATATTTTTATTATTATTTTTAATGCAGCCTGCTAAATCATTTAATTGGATCGAAAATAGGGAGTGTGGTTCTTTGATGGTGCTTTTAAGATTTCTAAGTCCCACTCAGCTACTTCATGTCCATTAGTTGCCAGCGACTCTCATCCTCGTGTGCACTTAACGTTGTTAGCGGTTACTGAGCACGTTTTGCACGTTTTAGTTTGCTGAGGTGTGTCAAAGCGAATAATAGAACCATGAGCTTAATTCACAAAAGGGTACGTGGTGTTTTAACGATAAAAAGGTGTCCAAGACGAATCTTTGTGGAAAGTAATTTTGTAATTAGTTTAAAAACTGAAAAAGTGTACAAAATAATTCAACTTTTTCACAGATTTTTTAAATCGTGATATTGAAAGGAATCAAGCCATCGATCAGAAAAAAGAATATCCAAGATAAAAAAATATTAAACTTAGTATTTTCATTAATATTTTAGGTAAGTTAAGATAATTTGTAGGCTGCTTTGGTCTCTAATCAAGGTCGTAAATCATTTTTAAGGTTAGGATCTAGGCTAATTAGAACTTAACTGAGTCTTAGAAAAATCAACCAATTGCACAAATAAATCACCATGTGACTTTGGCTCATTTTTATTTTCCCATCCCTACCCCATAATAGACGAATGTGTTGAGTAAAGTACGCAAAGTAACATTTACAGTGAGCTTAAAGACAGGAATTAGTCACCACTTGACGTAATAACCACCACCAACGCGAAGAATAAACATATTACAGAAAAGTGCTACTGGTATTGAAACAATAAAACCTTTACGAGCGCCTAAACTCTGAAATTGGTTCTTTACATGACCAATAACATACAGCGGTTGGTTATGACAACTTAATGGTGTACTTACTTGTAAAATCACCTATGAAACAAATGTCAAGACTTCTTCCGTCATAGTGCTTGTAGAGTAGGTCCTTAGTCGCGCTACGGTGCCATCCCCGTCCTTCATACACTGTGTTGTCACTGGTTACCATGAAACTAGGAAACAATTGAAATATACAGTTACATGATAATAATATATTTCACTACTAGTCACGAAAATGATCTTCGGGATTGTGTGGGAAACACTATCGAGCCCCAAAATGGGACTTTCGTGACGAGTATTGAACGATACCTTTTATCACGATGAAAAAAACTACTTCATCATACTTTAAAAATGATCCGATATTTCGTATTCTAATAATTTTTCTAATCTGCACAATACGGTTGTACAATTTATTTTTCCTACAGTCACCCGACAAAGTTGGCTTACTTGTACCGTTTATAGTACAGAAAGCTGCTAATTGCTGCATATTTATACTTTGCCGTACGGTTTATACTTTGTGGTACGGTTTATACTTTGCCGCACATCAGGATTCCAACGAAACAACACTAAACAGCGTGGTTCTATTATGCACGTAATCCGTGTACGCTTGGAAATAGGTTGGCAACACTTAAAGATAATAATACTATGAGCAGCTGATTGACTATTATAACTACGATTTAACCTGTCATTTCGTGTTTATAGTTTCGGTATTTCTGAACTTTCTGGACTTTTCTTTTAAACGTTTTTAAAACATTCCTACGATCTTAATAAACAAGAAAATACATTTAAAGCATTTTTTTAGGCACGGAAACCACTTTAAATTACAAAAACATACGGAACTATATTCTCAAAACGCGGAGCACATTTCTTGCCGAGGATAAATAGCGGAGTGATACGGACCGTGGGTACTACTTTCTCTAGGGCACCTATTTGTGTTGCCAGCTGAACCTAAACACGTGTTGTATAGTGTTTGAAATACTAATTATGTATATGCTTTATAGTGACTGTAGGAAAAATATAATGTGTAACACGAGTGAAAAAGGCTTTTGCTGCACTCGAGATCATTCCGCACTCGCCTGCGGCTCGTGCGTAAACATTGCTCTCGTGTGCAGCAAAGTGCCACTTTCACCACTAGTTACACAAATAACTATTAGTGTAAAATTCAGCTGATTTTTACTTTGTTGATGTCAGGCAAAGTATTATTTGTGTAGCGAAAGTAATGTTTATGTCAGGAAGTCAGCTGATTACTATTTGTTTTTGGTGTATGGAAATTGAAGATTTTTGAAGATCTCAGCTGTATAGAAATAAGCTTTTTTTTAATACGGAGTGATGAAAAAATATTGGTGTACTAGTTTGGATGAATGTAATGTAGTTTAGCTAAGGAGTTGTGTCTAATCTTCATCTAGTCATTTTGCATTTAAGTAAAAAATGCACCTAGATTTTAAATTATAAACGACGAAGTTTTAAGGTGGTTAAATATTTGAGTGGTTAAAGAATAGAAGAGTATGTTTAAAGCATTAATTAGTATAAAGTGCCATGTCTTAAAGAGAATATATTGACATAATGAGCACTTAACAGTTTGTAAAGTTATGCAACAACTCGTCAGATTGTAAGTTGTATATAAAATAATGAAATAAAGCAGCATACTATCACCCACTATTTAGTTAAATATAAAATCCATTCGTTGAAAATTAAAACTTTCGACCAATTTAACACTTTTGTTGGGATTCAGTTAACAACAACTATAATAATTCTCTGATAACTGCAACCTTTGATTATAAAGGTTCTGAGGTGAATCCTTTACCAACATTTCATACAAGTGAAACCTTATATTAAACCAAACAAGTTTAACTATGCTGGTTTATGTTTAAAGGGGATAGAAAATCTAGTTAAGTCCTTTGACTACAAAAAAGCTAGAGAAGATCGAATGGCCTGAGATTGTGATCGATTATTAGTTTCATTTCACACGTGGTATTGTTAAATGAGGAATTTAAAATAAAAGATAATATTATAAATAAAAATAACCCAAAAAGGTACCTTAAAGTATACATTTCAAAGGTGTTATGGCAAATTTTTGAAAATATATAATTGCATTAAAAGGGGGACGAAACCAGTTACGTGTTAGCCCAAATATGAGTGAAATCTTAATGTAAAATGTAGTGATACTTATGTTGCGTTTTTACTTATACATTTCTGGGCCAAGGACATCAAGTGTTTTGGTAAATAGCAAAATTAGCACACACTTAGGTTGCAACTAGTTACGGGATAATAAATATATCTTACTTATACTGTATATCCGGCATCCCTCTCTCATACATGTGTTTCCTCTGGAGTTGCTGTAATCTCTCCGTACATTCCATGATATTATGACACTCCTCAGTTCCCGGACCTGTGTGAAGGAAGATGACGCTGTCTATTGGATGCACTAGTGGTGGAGCAGGTGGGTCCTTGGGGGGCAGAGCCCCCCACCCCCCTCGGTATATCACGGTAGCTCGAGGAACACTGAAACACAAGGTTTAGAAATATGATCTTTAGGTTTTATGTTTTTTCGATGGATCTTTAGATTTGACAAGGGAAGCCAAAATGATCTTAAATAAAGTTTTCGTAGACACACTCTAACAAAATTCTACCTTATGTATTTAAAACTATATAAAAGATGTAACAATATTGTGTTGAACTAAACTTGGAGAATAATTTTTATTGTAACCCCACAAGTGATATTCTCTTTAAATTTACTTATACATAAATACAACTATTCAAATTTAGTCAGATGTAACTATACAATATGGTACTCTAGAGAAACCAATATAGTAAAGATTTTTTAATGCTTACCTTTCATTCACACCGTCTGGAGGTCTGAAAAAGATGAGAAAATATTAATAATTCCACAACATACACTGTTGTTATGTAATTCTGAAATCATAACGCACCAAGTAAAAGGAAAGTGCCTGTTAGCGGTTTTTATGTATTTAATCTTCAAACAGTTGTTTATTTTTAAATGTTTAGCTTTTTTACCTACACTTCAGGTTGAGGTGGTGGTGGTGGAGTTATAGGGCGTGCTTCTAAATCGTAAACGATCTTTTCTTTATCCCTGTAAATCAATACAAAACAAAATTTTACGTTTGGTAAATTACTATTAATAAACAAGAAGGTTGAATAAATTAACATAGAATTATTTTTCAATAATACCATTCAATCTATTAACAATAATAATAACGTTAACTAAAAAAATAGAGCCAAGTCCAGTGGTTTTAAAAACGAAAACTTGACCTGTATTAGTAGGTTTTTTATGAGGTCATACACATGTTAAAGGACTCACAATAAATATTACTTCAGTGTTAGATAGCGAACACCTTCCTGTTCAATAAAATATTCAGTGAGAATTAAGTAAGTTAGACTGTTGTCAACATTTGTAGACTTTTTGCATCATTGTATATAATAATAAACTTTTACTGAAATAAAGAATTCATTCATTCATTCATATGACCGTTTTGAGGATACATTATATCTCACTATAATTAGAAAATGGAATGGCTGTCTATTTGGTATTATACATTATAGCATAGCTGTAGGGAGTAGATTTTAGCCCCCAATCAATATGGGATATGATTCTCCTTTGAAGTGTTTCTCAAGGCTATTTAATGGTCCGTTTGTGTAGTACACAGCACAAACAGACCTAAATAGCATTAGGGAAACACTTCAAACTGTTATTATAATAGGAGACTGCATCTCAATAGCATATATACCCTTGTATACATCCTACTAAAGCAAATTAAATACGTTAATTATTTTTAGAAATTGGATAGTAAAAGTGCAATTTTTAATAATGTAACGAAAATGTGATTATGCTTTTAACATGTCTTTGAATTATATATAATAATAATCGAAGGAATACTTACACCAAAGGTCGTAACTCATCAACAGCATCATCTAAAGGCTGGTCGGCGTTTTCAGGTTGCCTAGAAAAAACACTTAAAATTAGTATTTGGCAAAACTCATTAACTCATTACTTTTATATTTCTTTAAATCACCTATACGAAACTTACTGTTTAGCTGTGTTGTACACAACACTAAGTTATTTCCAATTTTAGTTAATCTTTTGTGACATCTGGAGTTGTGAGGACTACACTTCTTTTTTCCATTCTAGATTCTCTCATTGTCATTTTATTTCTTACCTTCTGCATGCTTTGCTGTACAATGATCTTAATGAACATAAAATGAAAAAAAAAAACAAAAAAAAACATTAAATACATTTACCCTGTTGAGAGGTACATAAAAGTCTCTTCGATCTTCTAAAATTACCAGGTTATATTAAATGACAATATGAATTGTAACCTGGTAGAAATAAGAAGTCTCTTGAAATATAACTCAACTTAAATAAATGCTTGAATGCTTTAAAACTGTTCTTTTTAAACTTATCTTACGTTTGGTGATATTTATAGATTGATTGTTTGACCGTTGGTATAAATAAATAAATAAAAATATAGTTGATCTTACCCATCACTCTGGTTTGAAGTTGAAGGTGAACCTGGATCAAACGTTTGCGTGAAGTCTTCTGCTTTAATATCACTAAAACGGAAGATCAATATTATTTATCCTAGAACTGGTTGGAAAATCGGAGACAACAATGCATAAATAAATTTTGTATCCAAACTTTATTCTTTTGATTCATTAGAAGCCTGATACTTGTAGTTTAATAGAAAAAATGCCCAAATTCATTGTTTATCATAAAAGAAACAAAATATTTACCAAAGTTTTATACCATCTAAATTTGTTCACAGGTAACGTTGTTGAACATAGGCTAATAATTTAGGCAATTTTATATGCCTTTTGTCAGCGTTAACGCAGTACATGCTTTTCAGACCGTCTTAAAAAATAAATGCAAACTCCAAACAATATAGCCAATGTAATCCTAAAACACAGCTGTTTGTACGTAACAACTGGACTTACGTATCGTATATGTCATAGCTATCGTTTACATTTCTCGGTTGAGATTCAGTTATCGATTTACTACTCTCACTTTCATCACTTTGTTTGTTTTCTTCAGCCATTGAACATTTGTAATATCGATAAAATAAGTTTGTAAACTATATTAAATCAAATATTTAGTTACGTTTCGATATGTCATGTAATTGTGTAACAATGTGTTAGATAACTTGGTGTAATCTATACGGGAAGTCTCATTAAGTAGTGCAGCTTGTGAGATATCACTTGGATCTTATAGTCCATCGGTATCACTCATCTAACTTATATGAAATCCCACATATGGATAGTTTGAATAAAGTGATATTTTGGAACATAATGCAAAGAAATGTTAGTGCTCTTTTCTTAATATTCTTTTAGTATATTACTATGAACTACACAGTATGAACTACATATGTTCATTTATGAAAGTTTTAAGTTTTAATTTCAAATATTTCTGACGACATAAGTTATTTAAAATACCAGATTTATACAAAACAATCTTTCGTTTGTTTCGCAAAATTATACAGGTTTGTTTAGTTTTCCAGTTGCACTATTTTGTTTAGAATTATAAGCACAATAAAGATGAATTTCAATCAGAATTGGTTTTATAGAAAAATGCATTTTTCCGTTTGTTTGTAGGATTTTATGGGAAAATAACATGAGTTACAATAACCTTTAAATCGTAATTTTACATCAATGGGGGGTTGCAATATTTTGTTAAGAACTATATGGACCATCACATACTAATATCAATAAAAACAAGTTTTTTTTTTAAATACGATTTTCTCACATTTTATTAGTCTTTTATGAGAAAATAACATAATTTACAATAACTTTTGAACCGTAATTGTTACAGTAATGAGAGTTATATAGTTTTTTTTTTAATTTAAAGGTCTACAACATATGAAATTGATATAGAAATTCGCTCAGGCAAATATGAGAAAATCCAATGTTTCCGCTATTTTATCGGTTTTTATGGAAAAATCATTATCAAAAATAAAAATTTCAAAAACATTAACAAGATACCTGGAGATAAAATGGATTAGTACCTACATACCAAATTTCATCAAAATCTGACCACAGGTGTAGTCTGTAGCTCTGTACACATCCACACATATGGACACACACATAGACATCACTTCGAAATCCTCTTTTTTGGGTCCGGGGGACCCAACACGGATATATCCACTCAAAACTCAAACTTGAACTCGAAAATATAGAAGAAAAAAATACTTTCTCCATATACTATGAATAAGGGGAGGAAGTAAAAACCACCCTGTATATTTGCAAAAACGTTCCTAAGAGACAAAGAAGTTTGTTGAAGTATAAACAACGATGTCAATTACGGTACATAAAGCCAGCTAAATAAACCCCGTTAACTCAAGAATGAATCTCAAGTCGGCGGAATTGGTTTTGTTTTCAAACTTGTCACGAAGTGGTTTCCAATTCCAGACCTGGTTGAAGCTAACTAAGTTGGATCCAACTTAATCCTACTCAGTTTATGCGCAGTTGGCCCTTTCCTGCTTCTCTAAATGGTCGTTTAATGTCCAGTCCTTCAAACAAAAGTCAAATGGGATTGTAGCTAAGCTATGTTATTTTGGTCTGCAATTTTAAACTGATGGGTTTGTACTTTCTATTTTGAACTGTTATCATGTCAGTTCCTTAAAAATTAATAAAGAAATATATTGTTTTGGGTTTACTGGTTAATCAATCGAAACTCCATTTCATAAAAACCTAACTACCGTTTATCTCATATGATTCATAACTCTATTGTTGTTTTTGGAAAGTTCTATGACCCTCATTAGTAGGTTCGTTAAATCTAAAATTGTATAAATTTTTCTGTCATTGTAATTATTAGTAAATGTCGATATTGGTTGATTTACTTGCTTGGAGAATCAGTTAATCAAAATGACAAATGGGTGTAAAGAATAAGTCAGTAAACATGTTTTAACATGTATATTGATCGAGACAGCTCGTCAAACACAGGTTCCTGAATTCGGTGTCAATCAAGTCGTTTTCCATTCCATAAAGAACAAAAGACTTTCTAACATCGAGCACACTCTGGTTTGGATAATTTTCTGAAACAGGTTGAAATTCAATTAATCGTTATTTGTGGACTGTTCATGAATGCATTCTGTTTATGTATGTATGTAAGGTTAGATAAGGTTAGGTTTGGTTTAGGTAAGGTAAGGTTAGGTTAGATTGGGGCTCGAATGAATACCAAGTAAACCCAAAAAAATATAAATTTATTTTAGTACCCTTTAAGAAACTTACATGTATGTAAGGTTATAAACAAATGGAGCAGTTTGATTAATTATTGTATACTTAAGGCTATATCTTTCAATGAACACCATTCACCATCATTCAGTGAAACGTATCAGTAGTATAGGGAGGGTGCATTTGGGGCAACAGGTGTTGCCCCCCGCAAAGCCATACCTTGTTTATTGTTTACAATCCTTGACCCCTGACCTCCAGTAATCAGCCGATAGCGCCAATCAAACGTTTAACCCCAATTGACCCCAATTAAAAAAACAATTAGATAAAAGATATCGCATTCCGGCGTTATCCGTTATCGGGGAATCCCCGACCCGCGGGTCGCCGCGTCTGTTTACATCGTCCGCCATTGTTGTTTACACTTCTTTATCTCCTTTTGCGCGCGCTTTTGGCTCCGTCGATTCAGTTTCCTAGTATCTTCAGCTCTCCTGATACTTGTTCGAATTTTCTTTCAAATCTATTTAATTTGGAGTTGATTTTTTTTTAAACAGAGACTTTCTTCAATTATGGTTCTTACTAATCTCCGCTCTCCTGCTACTTAAGTTTTTGCAATTTATAGAATTTTGCGGAATATTCTAACATGCAGTGGACTGTGAACTGTGAACCTAGGTACCACGTGTTTTCTTTGAATCATGTCTGTGATAATCACTCATTTACATCAATTTAAAATAGTGATATGGCATTTTGTAAACTTAAGTGGAAAGGGTTTATAATCCTTTTTTATTCTCACCTAATAAATTCAACTTGCCATATCTTAAGTTGGATATTTTGCATCTTTTACTCAGATATATTTCTGAGATAAATCTTTCATTCACTATCATTATTTAATATCCAGCTTTGGATGTTTTGATGTGGTCTGACCTTCTCATGTTCAACGACACAATAAATGTGACTTTTCAAATTGTCTAAAGGACTGTTGAAAATACTTTTGATATCTTAATACTGTAGTTGCATGGAATTGCATTTTTAGGCATATACCTAAAAGCATGCCTTTTAAGCTTGTTACATTATGGTGTGATTATCTGTTCTTGTTGTTTAAAAAACTCTTTTTATTATAATCAATAGTAGTATGTATGCAACTAAAAAATTAAGTTCTGCAGATGTTTAAAAACAGTATTGATGAATTATATGCCATTTAAGGATTACAATGATTGTTTGGAAAATTGAATTGTTCAAAAGAGAAAAAATAGGATTTTTAGATCTAAAAAACATATTGTTCATACTGTAGTAGTCAACAGAATTGTGTTGAGTACTGATAAAAAACATAACCATAATTTTTAATGATGGATACAACAACAATGGCACTTGTGCCTTATGGTCAGTACCTAGTTGTAACCTCATCCAGACTTGTGTATATTTTTTTGTATAAACCCAAATTTTGATATGTGTTACAACTAAGAGGACAATAATGGTTAAGGTAGGGATATAATAATGAAAATAAAGTAATATAAAATTGTTTTATTAATCATATATTACATTATTTTTCGTACAGAACCAGACAGCGGTAAATATTGAACCAAAGCATCATGTATAATTAAACAGTAAGCTGATGTGTTAGCAGGCATGTCATCTTAAGTTTGAAAATCAATTCTAATATCTAAGGATCCAGTTTTAATTGTTTCAGTCTGCTTTGAACAATCTATTACAAACAGTGGTGCCTTATTAATAAAGGTTTCCTTGTTAAGGCATGGTTGATCGTCAATTCCATTATAATAAGAAGAATGGAATGATGAGTAAAAGTTAAACATTAGAGATTTGTTTTCGTTAACATTATCATAAGGATAGTATTTTGCATTTAAATATAGTTTGACATTTTCCAGCTTACACATATCAAAATGAGCTGCATTTTTATTTGACTTATCTTTTCTATCGGTTTGAAAACCTAAAATTACATATCGTGGTTTTTCCATCATTGAGCTTGTTTTGACTGTCCAAGAATGTAGTTTTGATACTGGGAGAGTTGGGTATTCGTACAGTTGCCATCTTCTAAAAGGCATAGATATAGGTTGATCCCTATCGGTTATTTTTAAGAGAGAAAGTCTTGTATTGTCTTCAACTTGGACATAGGATATTTTCCATATGACCTTGTCTAGGATTATATTGACATCGTGAAGAGCTGTAGCAGCTTGAAAAATTGCATTTTTATCTGTTGAAGACCTTAAAAGAATCAATTCTTGTTTAACATTTAACAAAATGTGATTATAGTCTTCTGCAAACCCTAAGAGTAATTTCAGTGGTATGCAAAATTAAAAATTAGTTTTTTCATCTAGCACTGCTACTGTGGTAACTTTCCAGCCAGCATTTTCCATCCAATTTTGATCAGAAGAGCGGGAAGTCAATATGTTCTTCATTGTAGTTGTAATTCCAACATTTTTTACTCTATCAACTTCTGTTCCACATAACTCATATCTAATTTCATCAAACAAAAAAGACATGGCATTGGTAATCAATTCAGTCGTAGTATCATCTTTCTTATCGGCGGCCTTTACAATTTTCCCCTCGATTACTAAAAAACTCTTACTAGGCAGTGTATAGACATCTTGTTGATGAACTGGGATTCGTATTTCATCGCTGTTCTTTAGTGAATTGGAAGAGTATGGTGTGTGGCTGTGATATTCTATATTGTATATGGTATCATCATAGTTCACATTTTCACTAATCTTCAGGATGTCATTCATCTTTTTTTTCTGGTAAAACCCTAGTGATTTTAAGAATAAACGGTTCTTCAGTGTTAACTGTTTAACCTCTCATTTGTGTGAAACATTTCAATATTTTTCAATCTGTTTTCATCAGCATTTGAGTTCTATCATAA